TATTTTTAAATAATAAAAAATTAACAAGTCATATTAGAAACATAAATATAAATAAATACACAATCAAATTTATAAAATATTGTGTTTATTTCTTACAAACTATATCACACAATTTCACTTTTGGTTGTAAAAATAGGATTAAAATATATAATAAAATAAAAATAAGAATTATTCATGATATTTAGCAAAACAGTCTTTACACAAAACTTTATCACAAGCCATATTGGATCGCTTTTCTTTGGACTTACTGCATGACACACAGCGGCGATATGTACTAATTTTTATGGCCAAATGTTTTCCAGAAATTTGAATAGAACCAGTAGAATCTTTACGTTTATTACTCAACGGGGAAATGGTAGGTCGTCTTTGTCGAGATGAAAAATCTGATATTAACTGATCAGTTAGTTTTGATCTAAAAGCTAAATGACTCATGTATTTTTTTTTTCATAGCATTACAACTTTCTTTATAAAGCAAAAAAGAGTTGAYTATTGTAGTATCCAACATATAATAAAACAATTTTACCCACCATCGTCTTGATTTTTGGCTAACACTATAAGGTTAGGTTAGGTTAGGTTACTATATACTGGTCAAAGCGGTCAACTGCGCCCATATAACGATTATAATCGGCTATACTTGATGGACATAAAATAGGTGTCCTTTGTCCTCTAGAATTGGTTCTTAGAACAATTTCTGTTGCAGAAGCATTATGCATATTACTAACAACAGTGACTGGTTTCTTACCTCTATCTTTCCATCTTGAAATACTCAYATCACCACTTTGAGCAAAATCTGTATCACCCATTTTGAAGTCTTTATCCTTCTTCATAATATCTTTTGGATACATTTTTTTATTTACTCGAAATGTACCACATGCAAATAAATCATTTTTATGAAGCTTATCTATCAATGGAATACTAGTGAAAAAGTTGTCAAAGTACAAACAACATGATTTGTGTTTTAAATTTTGGGTCAGATCTAATACTACATTTTCTCCAAGGCCGAATTCTGTTTGATTTGAACTTTTTTTCCCAGTATAAACATCAAAATTAATTAGGTAACCATTAGAAGAATCTGCCATTGCCCAAACTTTAAACCCTCTTTTTATAGGTTTCAATGGMATGAATTGCTTCATGGTTGATCTTCCTGTAAAGGCTACCATACTTTCATCTATTGCTAATTGTTTGGATGGAGTATAYAAATCCAAATAAACTTGTTTTAAATGGCTAATTAAAGGTCTTACCTTATATAGTTTATCAAAATGTTCAGTATTTCGAGGTGGCATTTGCAAATTATCATTTAGGTGTAAAAACCTAGTTAGTTTCAAAAACCGTTTGACTGTCATAACTTTTGCTACTCTTTCACAGAAGAAGTTTGGATCATTAGACCAATATAACCGAATGCTGGATAGCGAATGGTAA